TTATTCTTGACTGTGTTGGATTGACTGCTTTGATGCGTTGCAATAAGGTAGGGCATTGTTTTGATGCTTACATCCGAGAAAAAAAAATCTTTTGTTTTTATTTATTTATTTCGTTCATATATATATATATATATATATATATATATACACATACATTTATTTATTTATATTCTATGCTTTAGTTTTAGAAACTTACCCCTCTTACGGGACATTCACTTTAAAATGTTTTATTTCTAGGGATTTCCTTGATTATGTAAACCGTTTTTAGACGTTGTTTTAAATGCCACTCAACATTTCTCTTAATTTTCCCCTATAGTAAATGAATGAGAAACCTAGATAGTTGTGTTTGACATATTTTCTTTGTTGATAAAAGAAATCTTATTTGGAGTCTCAAGTCTATTTTTTGCAACAGAACTGCATCTTCCAAATTTCTATAGCTAAATATTAGTGTATTTTACTTGATTTTGTCATTTACATGCTAAGAGTATGAATGAAGTAACATGTTTTGTAATCTTTCAGAAAAAATCGTGTAAACAGGCGATTGATAAATTTGAAGAGGCGGTGAAGGTCATGAGGTCTCAGATCATCCAGACTGCGATGGGGGAGGAGTAAAGAGTTTCATTTTGCTGTGGTCTAATTTTTTTGTGGACCTCACTTTCTTCTTTTCTTTCTTTTGTACGCCATGCAACGCTGTATGTTTTATAAATGTTACCTTGATGAAATTTGTATGTCACGCCACCTGTTGAAATGGACCATATACACATTCTACCTTTTATACTATTTATTTTAAAATGATCTTAATTAAAAACTCTCCTATGGCCCCTGTAAAATGTTTAAGGGACATTTTACAAGTCTTATGTCTTGTTCTTTAAGTCTTTTGTTTGTTTGTCTGTTAATTATTAAAAAAAACTGAAATAAAAAAAAAGATCTTGTACCTGTAACGAGTTTCTTGGGAATGGGAAAACCTGGAAATATCAGAATTTTCAGGTCAGGAGAAGTCCATAGTAGTTATTAAGATAATGGCAGCTCAGCTCTAAAATATTACATTGTCTAAATTGCTCTTATAGTGAGACTAAAAATCTTGGGAAATCAGTGTGAAAAGACTTTATTTACAAATAGATACATACTTGTATGCATTTTATATGTTTTGTTGCAATTGCTTTTCGTATTTTCATGTATTTGTGTTTTATTATTACAAAAAGGATGGATGGTTGAATAATGTCATGAAGGGTGTTGGTTATGCACTGTACGTCATGTTTCCTCTGTACTAGTCATGCGTAATCTTGCGCTGTTGGTTGGACACGGACTGCACACACCGGTGAGGAATAAATGTCCAGGCAACCCACCTTTTTTCTTGACACCACAAACTTTTCTAGTAATAACATCTTTCATGTTGGATGCATCTTGGATGGCCAGCCAGCATCACTTATTCCAGCTGTTGGATAGCGCGCGCGATTTATTCCACGAGCTCCTGTTCAGTATCTGATCGCGTCGGTATGGTATGGTTTTCAGCTTAGTTTTTTTTGGGTTGTCCTGAAGCGGAATCGCATATATTCGGACCGATATGAAAATTACATTCGGTTTTGTGGTCGTCGGCGGGGGTTTAACGGGTGTTCTCAGTTTCATCTCTTTAGCGCTTGCCATTGGAACTGAATACTGGTACATCATCGAGGACAAGCGCACGAACCACACCGACCCGGCGCGCACTAACTCTGGACTTTGGGGTGTTACAGATGGTATGACACTTAATTTTCATTCTCAAGTCTATACTCGTGAGGATCTGTGAGTTGCCTCTGATCATAGTTTAATTGAATTATTTTATTCATATTCATTGGTAATATCTTGGGCTTTAACTGGTGTGCGTAGCCTACTGTTCATTTGACCAATGGATTTCCAGGACTTTTCCTGGCATAGTTGAAGTATTAAAAAATCATTTAATAGAGATTGCACCCACAATACAACATCTAGCCCAATACTACGTTTAAAACTGACCATTTAAATTACATATAAAATAAATTCTGTATTTAAATCTGTGACTTTCTTGGCGCACTGAAGGTTCGTCTTATGCAAGTGCAACCCAAATTGTAATTTGGCGCCTCAGCTATCTGAAACACCTTTTAAACAACACACTAGCTACTTTCAGTTATATTTGTGATGTGTAATTTTTATCGATGTACGATCTTTTAGTCACTGATCGAGCAACTGTTGCTATGGTTACCTCACGCAAAATCGAATTTGGTTAGTTCGCAGAAATTTGGCGCTATGTAGGCTAGACCTTATTATTTGGTCACTGAAACGTTGTTTGAAAACAAGGTTTCGAGCTTTACAAGAATTGTGGTCATAATTTTCACCCTGGTGATTTGCTTGTGTTTTTGTAGATGTCCAAAGTCACACAGAAGACACTGGATATTCAGAATCAGAAAGGCAGATGGAAAGTGAGTGTTGTAAACCCTTTTCATAAACACAACAACCTTAACTCCATATAAAAACTGCTTATTGTGCTGCAGTGTTCCATCATGAAATAAATCTGGCTATAAATGTATCACTGAGCCATAATTGTGTGCATTTGTATGGATAAGATGTTAGGTGTTTTTTTTTATAAGCCATTTCTGTGTAGCTTAACAGCTATGATTTACTTAATTCAGTCATGCATAGCGTGATTGCCATCTTGCTGCCCTTGAGTCTGGTGATGCTGGTGTTTGGAGGTATCTGTGGTCTCGTCAGTTCCCTGGCCAGAAGCCGGACACTCCTGATCGGATCCGCTTCATATTTCCTCCTGTGCAGTAAGTTTGACCCAATGAATGCCATGGTTAACTCCGTAAACCTCTACTGTTATAAAATCAAAGATACCAGTTTATATGTTGCCTGCAAAAAAAAGTTTGTCAGCAGAAAACAGAAACTTCTGAAATGCATTCATGGGTGAACATATACAATACAATTCATAGCTTTCAGTCACATGACCGACTCGAAGACCCAGAGGGCAAAACATCCATAGAACTGCAGCACAAATCTGTCAATTTTCCATCTGTTTCCAAGCCCCAAATATTTAAATCACCCCTCAAAAGAATAAAACAAAGATATGTGAACAAAATGCAAGTTTTGGCCATTTGAAATCCAATACTTAATGCAATATTTCAATCACTAAACCGTGCAACAAAACGTAGTGAAAAACACTTAGTGCCTTAATGTATTCAAAACAGTTATATCAAAAGAACAAATTCTGTACACACCTTATTGATTATGCTTACTTTATATAGGCAAGCAGATGAGCCCATAAAATGAACGTAATGCACTAAATGGTTCCATGTTTTCTTTATAATGGTTTTCTATGGGAAACCATTTAATGTGAAACTTTGCACGTTGCGTTTATGTTCTGGGTTCATCTGCTTGCCTGTACAATGCATCATCAGTAAGGTGTGTATTGAATTTCGCCTTTTAATATCAGCATTTTAAATCTACATTACTACTTAATGCAAACCGCATAGAAATAACTGGCGGTCAATGGAGCAAAGCCTCGTTTTGTCCTCCAGTTGGGCGCTCCTAAAAGAGTGTGACGTCAAGTGAAAACTATCAAAACAATACAATTTGTAATTCCTTTTGAAAATAGTCCAGAATGTCCTTCCCTTGTCTCCACTACTTTTTAAAAGCTATTGTTCTGTTAAATTAGCTTGCGATAGGGTTGTTTCACATAAATACAA